AAAAAAAGAAATTTAACAAAGAGATTGATTTTTTTTTTTTAGACTGAGTCTCACTCTGTCATCCAGGCTGGAGTGCAATGGCGTAATCTCGGCTCACTGCAACCTCTGCCTCCTGGGTTGCAGGAGGCAGATTCTCCTGCCTCAGCCTCCTGAGTAAGTGGGATTACAGGCACGTGCCACCACACCTGGCTAATTTTTGTATTTTTAGTAGAGATGGGGTTTCACCATGTTGGTCTGGCTGATCTCGAACTCCTGACCTCATGATCTGCCCACCTTGGCCTCCCAAAGGGTTGGGATTACAGGCATAAGCCACTGCACCCAGCCTGAAATAATTTTTAAAATTCAAACAAATATTAGAACTGAGAAATACATTTGCAGAACCAAAAAATTCACTAGAAGATCTAAACAGGTGATGAATCAAACAGAGGAAAGAATTGGTGAACTTAAAGACAGGTTATTTAGAAATAACCAGAGGAGAAAAAAGGAAAAACAATGAAAAGAAACAAACACCACCTAGGAGATATAGAAGACTACCTCAAAAGACCAAATCTAGGAATTATTGTTGTTCAAGAGGGAGTCAAGTGCTAGCAAGGGGTAGAAAGCTGATTCTCAGAAGTAATAACAGACTTTCCAAAACCTAAGAAAGATACAAACACCAGGTACAGGAAGGTCAGGGAATACCAAACAGCTTTGACCCAAAAACAAAAACAACTACTCCACGACATACAATAATCAAACATTCAAAGTCAAGGTCAAAGACAAGATCCTAAAAGCAGCAAGAGGAAAGGGGCAAATAACATACAAAGAAGCTCCAATTTGTCTGGAAACGGACTTCTCAATGGAAACTATACAGGCCAGAAGGAAGTGGAACACGATTTTCAAACTGGTGAAAACAATGACCTAATTTCTTAAGACTACTCATGATAAAGTATAAGCCAGTATTTTCATATTGGGCATAAAAATCATCTGAGCTACCAGTTAAAGATGCAGAGCTCACGTCCTACCCCATATTTACCCATATATTAAGCCTGGGGAAGGGTGTGGGAATCTACAGTTTCTACTAACTCCCCAAGTAATTATGATGAAGGGAGTCTGTAGAACAAATCTGCTAAAAAAAAAAAAAAAAGGGGGAAAATGACAGTAAGTAACACTTAAAACTTATAGGCTAATATGTTTAAAAAAAAAAAAAAAAAAACCTAAAATAAGCAGTTGCTAAAACAAGGGTTTCCAATTACAGTCACAGAAGCAGATAGGAGACTGGTGTCTCCTAGTAGAGAAGCGGAAGGGATTCAAAAACAATGCTCTTTGTGTGGTTAGATTATTCAGAATTCAGGTTAAAGGAAGCACCGACAAGAGAGAACAGAAGAGAAATAAAAGAATGCCTTTTGTTTTTTTCTTGAGACAGAGTCTTGCTCTGTCATCCAGGCTGGAGCGCAGTGGCAACTATCTTGGTTAACTGCAGTCTCCGACTCCAAGGTTCAAGGAATTCTCCTGCCTCAGCCTCCCAAGTAGCTGGGATTACAGGCGTATACTATCATGCCCGGCTAATTTTTGTATTTTTAGTAGAGATGGGGTTTCTCCATATTGGCCAGGCTGGTCTCAAACTCCTGGCCTCAGGCGATCTGTCCACCTTGGCCTTCCAAAGTGCTGGAATTACAGGTATAAGTCACCACGCCCAGCCTAGAATGCCATATTTCAAATAACTCCAAGATGTTCTTGATAAAAGAGAAAGGCAAATTGTGTGAACTGCTGAAGGCTGGACAATCTCCAGGTTGTATTTTAGGATTCACAGTAAGAAAAAGACAAAACGGGTGGCTCTCAGACTTGTGGCCACAGTGAAATTAGATGGCAAGGACTAAAACTGTCATCATATCCTCAAATAATGTTCATCACCTAATTTGCTCAATCTCACACAAACCTCAAATCCTTAGTCATCACCTGTAAAGCCAGGAGCCATAGGCAGTGTACTTTCTGGGTGACTTACGAGTTTAAACTGGGAGTAGCTGACTAGAGTACCGGCCAAAATAAGTATGTGAATATAGGAGATCACATACCAAGGGCACTAGATACTACCGTTAGTTTAAAATCCTGCCTAAATTATCTTCCTCACAGTGAGATATGCATGTGTGTGTGTCTGTATGTGTGTGTGTTTTAAATGTATTTATGTGAATGGATCTTGTTGTGTTGCCCAGGCTGGCCTCCCTGAAAGAATGGAACCACACTAGGTGAGATTCATGATCTTATCTGGAATAAATATACTGCTAAATTAAACATGTAAACATGACTGGATACATGTTCACAAATGATAGTCACAGAAGACATTTTGCAGACAACTAAGGAAATCTGAATAACAAATGAGTATTAGTTGACATTAAGCATTACTGTCAATTATTCTAAGGTATGATAATAGTACTGTGGTTATACAGTAGTACTGTGGTTACTTTTAGAAAATACTGCAAAATGTTAGCTATTATCTAATCTGGGTTGTAGATATATGAGTGATCACTATACTATTCTTTTAGCTTACTTAAAAATGTTGCTAACAGGTTGGGCACAGTAGTTCCTGCCTATAATCCTAGCACTTTGGGAGGCTGAGGCAGGAGGACTGCTAGTGCCCAGGAATTTTGAGACCAGCCTGGACAACCAGTGAGACCCTGTCACTACAAAAAAATTTAAAAATTAGCCAGGCTAGTGGCATGCATCTGTAGTCGCAGCTACTAGAGGCCGAGGCAGGAAGATCACTTGAGCCCCGAAGGTAGAGGTTGCAGTGTGACCTGTGATTGGATCAGTGCAGTCCAGCCTAGGTCACAGAGTGAAATCCTAGCTCAAAAAACAAAAAGCTCATAATAATTTGGGTGTAGGGGGAATGAAAGGGATACTTACGAGCATTCCTCAAAGACTTTGACCCTTTCACAGCCCTCAGGAGGTTCCCTTTTAAACATGTAACTGTTGTTAGGTTTTGGTGAGGTTGCATATTTGGGCAAAGGAGAATTGTTCCCATTCTCTGCAAGAAATGACATATTAGATTACTAACAAATACAACTACATAAATGTATAGTCATACTACATTTAATTGTTTTTGGACTACGCCTCCATGAACTACTTGAGGGAAGCAGCAGTGCTTTACTCATCAAGGAGATAATTAATGTTTGTTAAATAAATGCATAAACAAATACAGTATTTTATTTCACTTCCCCTTACAATTACCATAGCCTGGGCCTGTATCACATAACCCTCAGTACTGAACACTGATGTGGCTTGCTGCCTTACTTCTATTCTGCACAAAACAAATGTACTCAAATATTACTTCCATTTTTCCCAGTACAAATATCTGAAATGGTTCTTCATTGGTTACTGATCACTATCTCTTGACCTGCACTTCAGAATTTCTCAATTTGATTTCTCTGCTCCTCTGGTTACAATCTTTGCTCCCGGTAGTCAGAGCCACTGGATGCCAAACATTTTCTTTTGCCTGTGAACTTCCCCTTACCTAAAAGGGGTAAGTTCTGTTTATTTTCCAAAACGTCCTTCAAAGTCTAGCTCTGATTCAAGTTTTTTGAAATCTTTCCAAATTAACCCTATCAGGAGGAACATTTCTTTACTCTCGATACTCTTTAGTGCTGATATCCTCAATTTGTATTTCATTAACTTAAAAATTTTAATATGCTAAATATCTGTTCTAAATTTTCTGTCTGTGCCAGCTAAGCTACAAACTCCTTGCTAGCAGTAGCACTACAACCCTGTTTTCCTACAAAAGAAATTCACAAAGGCCAACCAGTTACTAAAATCAAATACTTAGGACCCAACCTTTTTGAGTTTATTTATAGAATTCTACACGTTATTAATGTAGAAGTAGGCAGTATGGAAAATCAAGGGACAGATTTTATCTGACCCATGTTTTATCAGACCCAGAAGCTAGTAAGAAAAGTCCAAAGAATGACAGTTTACAACTGTCCACAGTTTAGAGTAACTTTTTCAGTGAATCGTCTGTCTTCTGCACTTGCTACGGTTTTAATTACTTAGGTGATTAGTAGTAGCCATTCCTAACAGCAGAACACTTTGGCACATTTAACACAGTGTATGGAGGAGGTTCTAAATAAATGACTACTGAACTAAGCTTTAGAATTTATAGATGTCATTATTATTGCTTTCAAGTATACAACATAACCAGGATTAGGTTAAGAAAATACTGTCCTGACATAGATGCAAGGCTAATATTTGTTTTAAAAGGCAAGAACATTTGTAATTAACATTCAAACTGCTTCTATTTCCAGGTTATTTCTAAGGTATTTTAAGGTTTTTTTTTTTTTTTTTTTTTTTTTTTTTTTTTTTTCTTTTTTTTTTTTTTTTTTTTTTTTTTTTTTTTTTTTTTTTTTTTTTTTTTTTTGAGACTGAGTTTCGCTCTTGTTACCCAGGCTGGAGTGCAATGGCGCGATCTCGGCTCACTGCAACCTCCGCCTCCTGGGTTCAGGCAATTCTCCTGCCTCAGCCTCCTGAGTAGCTGGGATTACAGGCACGCGCCACCATGCCCAGCTAATTTTTTGTAGTTTTAGTAGAGACGGGGTTTCACCATGTTGACCAGGATGGTCTTGATCTCTTGACCTCGTGATCCACCCGCCTCGGCCTCCCAAAGTGCTGGGATTACAGGCTTGAGCCACCGCGCCCGGCCTTTTAAGGTTATTTTTAAGAGCACTCTCCAACGTTTTACATCAGGCTTGCTTTGAACAATCATCCTGCATTGATATAAATCGGTTTAATCCTTGTTAAAAATGTCACAAATATAGATCCTGAAACACACTAACTTGAAGGCTTTGTATCGATTGAAAAAGCATTAAGGTAATAAAATCATGACTATCAGGTGACAGAGACCAAAGTGCTTTCAGAGCAAGTGCTCATCTCATTTATTCCAAAAAGAGTGTTTCTCACCAATAAGGAAATTGTATTAAAAAGTGCAAAAAAAGAAGTACAAATGTGTTCTGCTGGAAAATGAATAGAATGAATGATAAAACAGGAGGTATTCAGTTATCACCTAGCAGCACATTCCTTTAGCACTCTACCTTTATCTCTGGGATCAACAAGCAGGTCATCAGCTGAGCAAGGACTCTCCTCGCTACCTTCATTGGAAATGGTGAGGAACGATGTTGGGGACACGGACTGGGAGCGGCTGCTGTTGTTGCTTCCCCTCTCTGCCCCACCAGGGGTCTGTGTGTCGATGCTGCGTGTGCTGCTACTTCTCTGTACAAGGGGGGGTGGGGCACGATGGCCATCTGGAATATCTTGCGGCTGTTACATTTTAAAAACATATGTATATTTACTATTAATTTCAAATCACCAGCAATGCACCCAGTGTCAACCTTCCCATACAGTGCCAGAGACACAAATAAGAAATCCTTTCCTACTTATTAGGGCTTCATGTTGCACGTTAGTGACATCTCTGTCTAATCTGACTCCCCCACTGAGCGTCTTCAATGAAGAATTTATATTCCCAGGGCATGGCATACAGCAGGTGGCCAATGCTTGTTGAATAAATGAATTGCACTAAATCACTTATCATGTGCTAAGGGTTATTTTAAAAATTATAAATGAGTGCCATGGTAAAAAAGGAGAAATGTAGGTGTAACACTAGGTTCCATATTAGAGGAAAAGGTTATTCATATTGTGAACTAGGGACACTGATGCTATGCCCTGAGAGGATTTTTTTCAAATAAACCTTCCTAAATGAGGCAAAGGTTAATCACAGAAGTACTAATGACCGGGAGAAAATCAAGTACATACTCAGAGAAAAGCCTGTGTGGCTTGCTTAGCAGGGAAACCAACTCCCTGCACACCTTTGACTAATTTACCTTTATTGTATCAGGGAATCTGTACCCTATCATGCAGAATGGAGGAGAGGGTGCAGGGAGCTGTGTTTTCTCTAAGTGAAACCAACCTTTTATCTTAAGGGAGAGGATCTTAAGCATTAATACAATACTCAATTCCTCCTTCACTGAGGAATAGAGAGAGGCTTAGATAACTAAATATACTGTGTGACATGGCTTTTAAACCTCAACAGTAATCTATTTTACCTAGGAACCATTCTCAAGTGTATTCTAGTTAGTAAAGAGAATAAGCAGATCATTTCTTTTTTTCTGGAGACAGAGTCTTGCTCTGTCGCCCAGGCTGAAGTGCAATGGCATGATCTTGGCTAACTGCAACCTCTGCCTCCCAAGTTCAAGCGATTCTCCCTGCCTCAGACTCCCAAGTAGCTGGGAATACAGGCACACACCACTACGCCCAGCTAATTTTTGTATTTTTTAAGTAGAGATGGGGTTTCACCATGTTGACGAGGTTGGTATCGAACTCCAGACCCTCAGGTCATCTGCCTGCCTCGGCCTCCCAAAGTGCTGGAATTACAGGCGTGTGCCACTGTGCCTGGCCAAAAGATCATTTCTAACTGTACTTATGACATTGCCTAGCATGTCAACCAAAATCAAATAGTCACTGACATTCAAAAAAGGAGCAGATCCATGCTTAGAATGTCATGTAAACTTCCTTCCCCCATAATTAGTAAGCTAAACTTTTGTTAAATGGAATTAAAGCATATAAGAAATATATCACCTAATGGTTCCTAAATACAGACAAACAACAATAGTTTCTGTTCAATAATCCAAATTCAAGTCAGATCAGTTGCCTCTATGAAATGTAATGAAATAAAAACTTTTCATTCACCTGCCCAGGCCGAAGTTTTTCAAAAGAGGTAATTTTTGTTCTCTCTCAATGAGAAGGAAGAAACCCAAGTAAATATGGAAATCGAAACTATACATTTTTAATAATTAGAAGAGTTCAAGAATGATTTTGAGATACAAGATCACTTACTATAAGTTGCTCTTCCTTTTCCCCAGTCTCTTTAATTATTATTTCAATCTCCTGATTCAATCCTTCCACGCTATTCCGAAACCGAGAGCCTGTTGATTTGGTGATGGGAATTACAGGAATAAGTGCACTCTTTGGAACAGGAGCCTTAAGAAAATGGGATAGAGAAGAGAGGCTTAACTTTACCTTTTAGTTTTCTCGACTGAAGCATAATCCCAACAGACATAACTCAAAAATAAATCAAAGTTTACAGGCCTCACAAAAAGTGTGAGTGACCAAACCTGCTCCTTAGTATGTATGAATATAAGTTAAAACCCAAATCCCACACAATGAAGGTAGGATTTTGAAAATTTATTCACACCTGTGAATGACTACAAAGAAACAAAGGATAAAGAAATATAGTAAAAGAATGTCAATCTCAGAAATTCTTTTATGACTGTAATAGAGCTCAGATTTCCAAATATAACTTTAAACTCTCCTAGTGCCACAGTGATACAGTTTGGATGTCTCACCCAAATCTCAGTTAAAATGTAAATCCAATGTTGAAGGTGGGGCCTAGTGAGAGGTGACTGGATCATGGGGGCAGATTTCTCATGAATGTTCAGTACCATCCCTCTTGGTACTGTGAAATTTGGTTGTTTAAAAGCATGTAGCACTTCCCCCTTCTCTCTTGCTCCTGCTCAGCCATGTGACCTGTGTGCTTCCTTCCCCTTTGCCTTCTGCCATGATTTTAAGTTTCCAGAGGCCTCCCCAGACTCCCGAGTAAATGTCAGTGTCATGCTTCCTGTAGAGCCTGCAGAACTGTGAGACAATTAAACCTCTTTGTCTTTCTTTTTTGAGGCAGAATCTCTCACTGACACCGAGGCTGTAATACAGTGGTGTTATCTGGGCTCACTGCAACCTCCACCTTCCTGGTTCAAGCAATTCTCCTGCCTCAGCCTCCCAACTAGCTTTAACTACAGGCATCCATCACTAATTTTTTTTTGTATTTTTAGTAGACACAGGGTTTCACAATATTGGCACGGCTGGTCTCAAACTCCTGACCTTATGATCCACCCACCTCAACCTCCCAAAGTGTTGGGATTACAGGTGTGAGCCACCATGCCAAACCTCTCTTTTCTTTATAAATTACCCAGTCTCCGGTATTTCTTTATAGCAACATGAGAACTAATATATACATTTATATTCTGACAGGCGGAATTATTTTTGTTTTTGGTTTCATTTCTTCTAAGAAACAAAAACGACACTCATGTGCAGAACGTGCAGGTTTGTTACAAAGATACATGTGCCATGGTGGTTTCCTGCAGCTACTGACTAGTCCTCTAAGTTCCTTCTCCTCAACTCCCACATCCCAACAGGCCTTGGAGTGTGTTGTTCTCCTCCGTGTGTCCATGTGTTCTCACTGTTCAACTCCCACTTATGAGAACATGCAGTGTTTGGTTTTCTGTTCCTGTTAGTTTGCTAAGAATGATGGCTTCCAGCTTCATCCACATTCCTGCAAATAACATGATCTAATTCCTTTTTATGGCTTCATAGTATTTCATGATGTATATGTACTGTATTTGCTTTATCCAGAGTATCATTGATGGGCATTTGGGTCGGTTTCATGCCTTTGCTATTGTAAATAGTGCTGCAATAAACACATACGTGCAATGAGACTGCTGGGTCAAATGGTGTTTCTGGTTCCAGATTCTTAAGGTATCACCATACTGTCTTCCACAATGGCTGAACATTCATAATTTACATTCCCACCAACAGTGTAAAAGTGTTCCCGTTTCTCCACAGCCTCGCCAGCATCTATTGTTTTCTGACTTTTAAACAACTGCCATTCTGACTGGCATGAGGTGGTAGCTCATTGTGGTTTTCATTTGCATTTCTCTGAGGATCAATGATATTGAACTATTTTTCATTTTTTTTTTCATGTTTGTTGGCCATGTAAATGTCTTCTTTTAAGAAATGTCTGTTCGTTTCCTTTGCCCGTTTTTTGATGGTGTTTTTTCTTTTGTAAATTTAAGTTCCTTACAAATTCTGGATATCAAACCTCTGTCAGATGGGTAGAATACAAATTTTCTCCCATTCTGTAGGATGCCTGTTCACTCTAATGACAGTTTCTTTTGCTGTGAAGACGCTCTTTAATTTAATTCAATCCGATTTGTCAGTTTTGGCTTTTGTTGCCATTGCTTTTGCCGTTTTTGTCATGAAGTCTTTGCCCATGCCTATGCCCTGAATGGTATTGCCTAGGTTTTCTTCTAGGCATGTTAGAAAAATGGTTTTTATGGTTTTGGGTTTTACAGTTAAGTCTTTAATCCATCTTGAGTTTCAGTTTTCTGCATATGGCTAGCCAGTTTTTCCAGCACCATTTATTGAATAGGAGATCCTTTCCCCATTGCTTGTTTTTGTCACGTTTGTTGAGGATCAGATGGTTGTAGATGTGTGGTGTTATTTCTAAGGTCTCTGTTCTGTTCCATTAGTCTCTATGTCTGTTTTGGTACCAGTGCCACGCTGTTTTGGTTACTGCAGCCTTATAGTATAGCCTCCAGCTTTGTTCTTTTTGCTTAGGATTGTCTTGGCTATACAGGGTCTTCTTTGATTCTACATGAAATTAAAAATGTTTTTTTCTAATTCTATAAAGAATGTCAATGATAGTTTGATGGGAATAGCATTGAATCTATAAATTACTTTGGGCAGTATGGCCATTTTCATGAAATTATTTATTTAACAAAACAACTTCCAAAATCTATGTAGAAATTTTAAAATTAAAAATATTTTTATTGTCACAGTATTACTTTTGAAAAGAACTGATTATATAATTACAGAACATTGTTTCCTGACAAGACACTCAAAATAAAATATGAATCGAGCATTAACAGAGGTATCCGCCAAAGCTAGTAACAAAAGTTACAAAATGCCAGATGAACAACTTGTAAATTCTTCTGTCTGGAAAAGAAATGTGATTAACCCATCTTCATTTAGGAAAGTTTCTTTGGAAAACCTCTTTCAGGAAGAGGTGGGCAAGAAGACAAAGGTAACAGGGCCTCTAATCAATGACCATTAGTTTTATTCCCTGTTAACCCTGCTGTCTGATATAAAGCTTAGTGTTAAATCTGTATTTCTCCTTTTATTACTGCTCCCCTTTAAAACTTAAAAAAAAAAAAAAAGCATAATACAATAAGAATCCTTGGCAAACGCAAGAAATTTGTGATTTAAAAAGGCCAAGGGGAAGCTCCATTGCTCAGTTAGTATTGGGTCCTCATATGTAACACAGGACACAGCAACCTACCTCATGGCTTTAAGAATAAAATGGCAGGAAACCTGGTATGGTGCCTGGCCTCTAAAACATAAACGCTCAGAAAATAGTAGCTGCAATTTTTATTTTGTATTTTTCCTATTATGTATTGTATTCTTAAAATATCTTTTCACATTTTTCAAGTGTCACTTATTTTCTTTCACATATAATGTCTTCCAATTTTTCCCTTTTTATAAATCTCTGTTCCCACATTCCCCACAGCCTCAAGCTTCTATATTACTTATTCCCTTTACTTCCATCTCTTCTTTCTGTTCCCTTTTCCAATCTCAGCATCTACTACCAAAGGAAAGAAAAATCTTAAATTTGGGTGTTCTATAAGTTCTATAGAGAAAATCTATATAATTTTCAAAAATCCAACTTATATTTTTGAACCATTCTCCATAGTGTAGATCTTCGGCATACTGATATGCAATTTTCATAACTTTTTTTTTTTTGAGACAGAGTCTCCGTCTGTCTCCCAGGCTGAAGTGCAGTGGCACAATCTCGGCTGAGATACAGTTGAGCTATAAACTTCAAGTAACAGAGTGATCTGTGAAGAATGATGCAATTTTTAGGTGAATTGTAAAATAATTTTGGAAATTTGCAAACAGAAAATTATGGGACAAAAGCTTGACCTATATGTCTTCAAGGCTTTAGCCCTTACATATACATTTTGATTCTCCCTTTCCTCAAATATAAACAAATTATATGTGCATAGAGAAACCTACACACCTAATTTCTCAACATTTTCTGTTCCACCTACTGGAACAAGTTCATATACCCCAGATATTTCACAAAAGCACGAACTTAAAGAGGACTCTTCTTTTGTCTCTGTTTATTCAAACAAAAGCCCAATACATACATATAAAACAGGCATACACACATTTATTTACATTTCACCCAGCAAAAAGAAAAACTATCTTCCTAAAATATCAGAAGCAAGCTACTCCTGGGAATAGAGATGGTATTTTTTTCTTTTGGATTATTTTTCTACAATTAACCTGAGGAGAGAAACTATGTCTTATTAATAATCTCTATAGTGCCACTGCCAAGCGCACAGCCTAGAACATACAAGATGCTTGTTCAACAAGGCTGGTATATGGATGTGTGCATCCCCTCAAAATCATGTTGAAGCCCTGCCGATGTGGCTGTATGTGGACATGGGGCATCTAAGGCAGTTTTGTTTTTGTTGTTGTTCTTGTTTGAGACAGGGTCTCCACTTGTTGCCCAAGCTATGCAGTGGCATGATCTTGGCTCACTACAACCTCTGCCTCCCGGGCTCAGGTGATCCTCCCACCTCAACCTCCCAATTAGGGATTACAGGTGCATGCCACCATGCCTGGCTAATTTTTTTTTTTTTTTTGGTAGAGACAGGGTTTCACCATGTTGCCCAGGCTGGTCTCAAACTCCTGGGCTCAAGCAATCAGATGGCCTCAGCCTCCCAAAGTGCTGAGATTACAAACACAAGCCACCATGCCCAGTCCAACAGGACACTAAAGAGATCCCTCCCATCCACATGCACACAAAGAAGAACTCATATGAGCACACAGCAAGAAGGGAGCTGTCTGCAACCCAAGGGGAGAACCCTTAACCAAATAACAACCCTGCTGGCACCTTGATCTTGGACTTAAGAATCTCCAGAACTGGAAGGTAAATTTCTGTTGTGTAAAGTCAACTACTCTATGTATAATAATTTGTTACGTCAGCCTGAGGAGACTAATACACTCACCTTTAGTTTCTTTATTTCTACAGTTTTCAATAGACTTAAGAATGTATTTAAAACATAAGCCAGAGATATAGTGATCCAGAGAACTTGAATGTGTCCATAAAAAGTCGTCCCTGAGAAACTATTTTTAACTGT